TATACCAATTATTCTCTCAAACTTTATATCCTATCGTGTTGTTTGTGTTTTAAGTTAACTTTATTATTTATTTTTTATTTTATTTATTTTTTTTAAGCGTACAGGTTTGGAATATTTTAAAATCCTTAAGTTAAATTATTTAAACTTTTCTTTTTATTTTCAATGAAAAATAAATGCGATCGTTAATATCGATCTTGGTACAATGTAAACCTGTAATCATATGACTACTTATACAAAATTTTACTATACTATAGGCCTAGACTAGGACCAGGCCTCCTACTATAGTATAGAGGTCTAGTCCAAGACCTAGTTGCAAATCCCAACCCACATAAGCCTGGCCTATAATTCCTAGCATAGATACTATATTATAGTTATGTAAATATGGCAATTATGCTAAGAATTAAAATGGCGTGTAATTGTGAGGGTAAAGTAATTATGGTAGGATGGTATTGCTAGATCCCCAAAACCTCCTAAAACACACTGTAGAAAACCAAACAATTGAATTGTGATTGACTCACTTGGTATATCGATAAAAAAATTAAATATTTAAAAGAACCTATTTTTTGGTTAAAATGTTGATTTTTTTTTGTGAAAAAATACTTGCAAATACACCACAATCCTCTAAAACACACTGCGAACCCCATCCAAACCCTTTAATTACGATTGTAGAACTCTTTTTCTATATAAAAAAAGAAAAAATAATTTGATGTTCATATAAACTCATTGTTTGTGGGGTTTACCAATACCCGGATTGAATTTCTGGAAAATTGTGATTCCGCTTCCTTGAAATTGGCCACAAATAAATTATTTTAGTATTAATAAATGCATGATTTATGTCGATTTATTGATTATGTTGTTGCTATTTTTTAACATTTAAATGCAAAAAAAAATAAAAAGTGTTATTCATGGCTTTTTTTTATCTTTGAATATTTTATCATTGAATATGTAATTTCTGTAAAAAATAAAATGTAAATGGCAATTTATTTGATTAGATTAGTTTTAAAAACTAAATTATTTCAGTTTTAAAAAAAGCATACAATGATTTTTAAAAAATCAGTTTTAATACAGAATTTTATTATTGGGGCCATTTTTACCTACTTGTCATTTGGGGGCCATTTTTTACCGGGGCCATATTTACCAGTGCCATTTTTCCAGGGCCATGTTTTCCGGGGCCATTTTTACCGTACACTCACCAAAACGTGACACACACACACACACACGAACTTATACGACTGAAAACATATATCTCCTGGTGGAGATTATAATACTATAAGAATAGAGAAAATTTAATCATATAATAGTGAAATTGTATAATATTTTGTTCATTATATTCACATCATAAATTATCCTGAAACAAGGTCGCTGCATGTTATTACATTGGAAAAATAGTATAAAAATCAAAGTGGTGGTATATTTTTCATACCTGTTGTTTTCCGTAGATGTTTCACAAGCAGGTTGTTTGTAAGTTAGTTGTTCGTACGAATTTTGTACAGTTGGTATAGGTGTCTCATAAGCTGATTCTTCTGCCTTGCTCACTGCATTACTCAAATTGACATAGGTGATAGGTGTATTCAGTTTTGTTATCGTATGCTTTGATTTCTTAGGTTTACTGAAATAATGATAATAATCACCTATATTACATCAATAATAATAATAATAATAATAATAATTATTATTATTATTATTATTATTATTATTATTGTGACAACCTGTAAATAATACCCCTATGGACCAAATGGTTGAACCTAGGAAAGTAATCTATGTAGATCGGTTTGGGATGGTGTAGGGTATCATTAAATAACCTTCCACTGTATTTCCAACAAGTTGTCTACATTGTTATTTTCAGGTATGTAAAGAAACTTTCATTTTAAATAACTTTCTATTATTTGTTAACTTGATAACAACCTAAACTTTTAGATGATGGTATACTGCCTAACTAGTATACTGTAGTTGCATAACTATAAATGTTCATATATCTTTGGGATGATGCTATTTTATTATTTATATAATCTAATCATTTAATTGACCATCCTTGATTATGTTACTTGTTATTGGTTGTTATGAGTAAGATTAGCTAGTACCATATGCAGTAGTACATTATAACTCTCATTATGATTAAATATGAGAACAGTAGAATTGTTGACTATATGTACTATATATAT